AATAGTTTATGCTTAATTTTTAGTTATATCCTTAAATAACCCATTTAGATTTAAATCTAATATTATTCTCGTTATTTACTACTTAACTAGGCTTTATAATAACTAGGTTATTTATAAATTTCTTTTTATATACTCATTTCCCCCTTAAAGCCATATGGCCGGGTAGTAAATTCATTATTATATAAGTATTTTATTTTTATAAATTATGTATTTTATTTAGCATAAATTTAACTTATAAGGGTTTTTCTAAGTTATTTAATACCTTTTTTAAAGAAAAAGGTTTATTAATATTAGCTATAGTTAAGCAGTATTTTAATATATTTTCTTAGGAATTTAATATAAATATTTAGTTATTTAATAATGTATTTTATATAATATATATATAGTCTTTTAGATTCCCTTAAACTATTATCTTATTTAAAATAAAAGGAGAATTTACTTCCCTATTTTTTTCCCTTTATTCTTGTAATTCTAGGAATATATATATATTATTATTATTATTATTATTATTATTATTAGTATTAATATCATTATTATTTATATATTGCCCTTTTAATATTTAAACATCCCGAACCAATATAGGCTTTTTATTATAATTATTATTCTAAAAATATATAATAAATCCTTATATTTTTAAGTTATTTATATAAGGCTTCTTTTTATTTATTACCTTATAAAGGTACTTATACCCTAGGTTTTTATAAGGTATAATATTATATAAATATACAGCATATTTTATTACTTCTCCTTATAGGTATATAAGTAAATTTGCGGTATATAAAAGGCTTCTTACTTTATTTATTATAATTAAATTTAATCTTTTTATTAAGCCATTTAGTTTTTTTATATATAGAGGCGTTATATAGTAATTTATAAGGTATTTATTTAATAAAATTTTAAATCTTTTATTTATATATTCACCTTTATTATCAATAAAAAATTCTTTTATTCTTTTATTATATTTATTTTCTACCTTATTTTTATAATTATTAAAAACTTTTAATGCTTTATCTTTATTTTTAAGCAAAGAAACTTTTAAATATTAAGTTCTTTTATTAAGAAATAATATATAATATTTATATTTATTATATATAGATTTTAAAGAACCGCTTATATCACTATATACTCTTTTAAGTATATTATATACTTAGTTATTTAGGCTAATCTTATTTATTTTAATTATATGCTTAACTTTTAAGCATACTTTATAATTACTTATATATTTTTAAATAAGTTTATTTATTAATATATTTATTTTATATTTTTAAAGAAATATTTTTAAAGCTTAAATATTTATATAGCCTAATTTATAATACCATTTATATATTTCTTCTTTATTTTTATTATTTATATTTTAATTTTATTAAGTTATATATATTTTTTAAAAGGTATATTTAGGCTTATTTATTTATTTTATTATATTAATTCTTATAAAATATAAGCTATCTTTTTAATATCCTTAAGTTATTAGCTTATTTATTTTTTAAGAATATAGTTTAATAATATTTCTTTTTAATTTTAATTTAATTTTATTACTTATATATTTATAACTAAATATATTTAAACTTAAAGAAGGTATATAATATATATTAAAGAATTTCTTTATAATATTTATTTCTAAAAACTTAATTATTAAGTCCCCTATTTTATTTATAAATATAATACCTACATTACTTTATTTCATAATTTTATTAATTATATATATAATATTAAAAAGATATATATTTTTAAAACTTATTATATTTGCAATAATATCTATAGCTATTTTTACGGAATTTATATATTATTAATTTCTTATAAATTTATTATTATTAGCTATTATTATTATTATATATATATATAAAGTATATATAAGGTTATTTACCTTAATCTTTATTAAGTTATTAAAAGAAAGTTATAAAAAATTTAATAAATTCTTATTATATTTAATATTTTTTATTAAATTATTTATAGCTATATAGGCTATAAGTTCTTACTAAGCATCTTTTAAAGCTATGAAAGACTTTATGCTAATTAATAAAGCTAAGAGTTACTCTTATATTTTCTTTCATTTTTCTTAGCTTATATTTTTTCTTAAAAAAATATTTTTTTCCTTTTCTTTTCTTTATTTATTTATTTTCCAGCTAGCTAATGCCTTATTTAAATAAAGAAAATAGCAATTCTTTTAAATATAGCTCTTTATTTTATAATTAAGGTATATAATAATCTTTTTTTTATCTTTCTTATTCTTTATATATAAAGCTTTTTTAAATAATTTAAAGAGTTTCCTTTTACTTTTATTTAATAAGCTAAAAAAAAAGAAATTTAATTATATAAGCATTTAAATCTTTTCTAAGACTTTAAGTTATATTTTAAATAAAGCTAATATATTTATTATTTAAGTTATAAAGAATTTAACTAATTATAATTTATTTAAAAAGAATTATATTATTAATCTTTAAATCCTTTAAAAGAAACTTTAGCTTATTAATATATTTTTTTATAATTTTAAAATTATTAAAATTAATATTAAAAAACTCTTTATAAAGTAAATATTAATTTATAAACCTAAAGAATTTATAATAAAATTTAAGTATATCCTATGCTTTTTAAGTATTATTTATATTTTTTATAAATATAATAAGCCTTTACTTATATATAAGTTTACTATTAATAAAAACTTTTTTATTTTAAGCTAAAAATAAGCCTTAAAAAAAATTCTTAAGATTATTTTTAATAACATTTTCTTTCTTAAGCTAAACTTAAATTTTAATACTTTAATATATATAGTTTTTCATTTTATTAAAAAATAAAATATTATATTTATTAAAAAATATTATTTTAAGATAAATAAATAAAATATTTATTAAAATAATTAAAATAATAAAGAAAAAGATATAATAAATTTTAAATAAGTTTAATAAGTTAAGGAATAAAGATATAAGTATTAAAGTAATATAATTATAAAGAAAAAAAAAGGGCTTTTAAATAATATATTTTTAAGGTATTATAAATTAAAAATAGTTAAGATATAACTAAGTATTTTTAAGGGAGTTTAAGAATTATTATAATTTTATTAAAATTTACATTTTTAATATTAATTTAATATAATTTTTAAATTTTAAAGAAATGTTTTTATTATTTTTAATAAAGGCTTTTAAATAATATATAAATTATATAAATAAATTAAGTATTAATAGAGAAATAATTAAGTATTTAAGTAAAGAAGGTATAGTTTTTATATATAAGCTTTGGGTTAAAAGATAAGATTAATTTATAATATTAAATAGGGCGATTTAATTAATTAAGAGCTTATTAATTAGCTTAATTGGGTAATTAATTAAAAGGTATATCTTTAAGTATAAAGCTTATTTTATTTAAAAGGTTTAAAAAGTGGTGGCGATTAGGGGTGTTATGTAATATATGTTTTCCATATTAGGTTAGCGTTGCCGTTTTGGGTAAGCTCCGGGCCTTATAACCTGTTAAATAATAGCGTTGGATGCTTAGTTTATGAGGCTAATTAATGTCTATTCAACGGGAGGGAAGGCCTCTATTTATAGTTATTATCCTTTATACAGTGGTAAACATATGGGGAAAAGGATATCCCGTATTAATAATAGCCTAGATATCTAGAATATTCCAACAGGGTGGCTCATCGGAGAGCTTCAATACAACCCACCAGAATGTTGCATCTTCCTCTAGTCATATGTATACTCCATCTCGCTCAACTGGAGCAATTAAAGTGAGAACACTGCAGCTCAATGGCCCGAGGGCGCCCAGAACAAAAGCCCTCCAATTCTTGTTGCAGCCGAGCAACAATACGACAACTCATCTCACAACAAGCCGCCCTGCCAGGGAGCAGGTTGTGCCATTTGGATCGCAGCTGGCAGGTGAATGAAGCCACATAAGCTCGGCAGCGCGATGGCGAAAGAAGTCGTACAAGGAGGGCGAGAAGAGCTTTGGCCGACACCACACGCGGTCTATAACCCGTCCCATCTCTTCCCCAGCCTCGTCTGGCCCACACCAGCCCGCCGAGCACAACGGTGTCCGTATGATTCCCCGGTGACACGCCGCCGCCATCCACACGACAGGGGCCAAATCCCACGCAGGGTGAATGAAATCGTTCTAGAATATTCGTCAAGCGGTCCAACAGGATCATCTAACTCCCCAGGGCCCTAGTCCTCAGGAGTCACCCGTTGCAGACCGTTGGGAGGCAGCCTCGTAGTAGGAACAGCAACAATAGGCTACAAAAGTCGATAGCTACAAAGGATCACTTGCCCTGATATTGTCTGACTTGTCTGGAGAGCTGCCTGGCGCGAGCGGCGCTGGTTGGGTGCAAGCTCACGCCAAGTGTCTCGGCGCTGCTGGTGCGATCACGCCTTCGATCACGAAATATGCTTAAAACGAGCAAAAGCGACACAAGCCGGCTGGCCTGAGGGCAGGAGGCCGTTTTGTTGTGATCGTTTTTGGAAGGTGGTTTGAGTACACCCTGCGAATCCTCTATACTAGAGTTCGTAGTTAGGCACGGGTGTGTGAGTGCCCAGCCAGTCCCTTGAGATGGCACTTGGCGTGGGCTTTTTTTCTCGGCACCAACCGAAAGGGACGGACACATGTGAAGGAAGAGCAGCAGAAACAAGCCAGCCGAGCCTGGCTTAGAACGCCACACAAATCCAGGGTAATTCCCCAAATGGAATGTTGAGTGACATGCTGCCACACACCGGTGTTGCTCTTGCATCACCCGCACCGATGATGATGCGCCATAGATACCAAGACCACCAGGCGCCGAGAGGTTGGATCGGTACCTAGCCACGCGCTTGGCGAGCCGTCGTGCAATCATTGCTTTTGGGGTGCGGAGGTATAAAGGCGGCCCAAACTCTATCCCCATCTAGTGTAAGGCTCCACCTGTCTCTCGCTCATATCTCAGGTCTTTGATTTTGGCTGTGGCTCTTGGATACATCCCCCACGCCACTCCACGTGTCGTAGGGACCACTAGCCGTCCACTTCCACAGACGTATTCCACGATGGTTGACCACAAAGGGGACTCATCCCCAAAAGCCGACGAGCAATACAGCTCGGCCTTGGCTCGCGACGAGGACGCTCCACCCGACTACGCGAGTGGGCAGGTGCAGGATGAGCAAGCCTTCAAGTTTTCCGAGTCGAGGAAAATCGGTGTCACTGGAGCAGTGTTCTTGATTTTGAATAAGATGATCGGCACAGGGAGTGAGTGCTCAGCCGGCCAGAGAGGTTCCTCATAGCGCTGTTGTTGACGAAGTGCAGTCTTCTCGACGCCATCCGGCATCTTCGCATCCACGGGCTCAGTCGGGATAAGCATTATATTGTGGCTGATAGGCGGTATCCTCACCTTCGCCGGACTGTCTGTGTTCCTCGAATTCGGTCTCGCGATTCCTAGGTCCGGTGGCGAGAAGAACTACCTCGAGCGCGTATACCGCCACCCTCGATACCTGGCCACCTGCGTTCTTGCCTCGCAGATGATTCTGTTGGGATTCTCGTCGGGAAACTCTCTGGCCTTTGGGCGTTACGTCCTCTACGCGTCCGGCTCCACAGAACCCGACGGGTGGGCAGCGAGAGGACTCGGCATCGCTTGTGCCACATTCGCCGTGGCGCTACACTCCGTGCTGCCAAAGTGGGGTCTTCGCTTGGTGAACGTACTGGGAATTTTCAAGGTGGTGATCCTCATCTTCATCGTGTTCAGTGGCTTTGCCGCCCTTGCTGGGCGGCGTCTTGTGCCGAACCCGCATAACTTCGACAACGCGTTTCGAATCGAGGAGGGGGACGGATACGGTAATGGCGGAGCTTACGGCTATGCGACGGCTCTTTTGAGGATCATGTACAGCTACAAGGGTTGGGAGAACGCCAACTATGTGGTTGGCGAGCTAAAGAATCCGAAGCGGACGCTTGCGGTTGCTGCGCCCCTCGCCGTCGGAGGAGTTACAGTACTGTACCTGCTGGCAAACGTTGCGTACTTCGCTGCGATCCCCAAGAGTGACCTGGCCAAGTCAGAAGTTATTGTCGCCGGTCTCTTTTTCCGCAACGTTTTCGGAGCGAGCGCGGGTGCTAGGAGCCTGCCGGCATTTGTGGCTCTGAGCAACTTGGGCAACGTCCTAGCCGTGTCCTTTGCGCATGCGAGACTGAATCAGGAATTCGGCAAGGAGGGCATGCTGCCTTTCAGCGGATTCTGGGCCTCGAACAAGCCAAGCAATGCGCCTGCAGCTTCGGTACGTGCCATATATCGCCGAGCCTGACGACCAGACCGTTGAAATTGCTGACCATCGTGGGTAGCTGTTCCTACACTGGCTCATCACCGTTATTATTCTCGTAGCTCCACCCGCGGGCCCAGCGTACAACTTTATTGTTGATCTATACAGTCAGTATCGATCGGTTTTCACTTCAGGCTCCGATCAGGTTCCTAACTTAATTAACAGCTTATCCGGGTGTCTGGATCAACGGATCTGTGGCTGCCGGGCTCATCTATCTGCAATTCAAGAAGTCGGAGAACTGGTCGTCGCCATGGCACACCTACCTCCCTGTCACTCTACTTTTCCTCGCAATGAACGTCTTCTTGGCCATTGTGCCATTCATCCCACCAACAGGGAGCTGGGATGCCGAGGGCTATCCGTACTACATCTTCCCCGTGGTTGGTGTGGGCGTTCTCATCCTTGGAGGCATCTACTGGACCGTGTGGACAAAAGTGCTGCCGAGCATTGGCGGCTACAAGGTTGTGGCTGATCGGAGGGTGACTGACGATGGCGCCGAGGTGGTGAGATATATAAAGGTGAGGACAAAGGACGGGTCGAGGGTTCACTGAAGCGTCAGCGAAGGGAGGGTCAAGCCGGTGCTCGATTTCGATGGCAGCGGAAACTTGTAGAGCGATACACAGAGATAACTGTCCGGGCCGTAATGGTGGAATGGGAGACGGATGGCCTAGCCTGCTCACTGACAAGAACCGGGTTTCTCCTAAATGCAACGATGTGAAGTAGTCAACTTTCTGGGGCAGCTCAGGTCCATTTCATGACTCGCCGTAGTGTGGTGCGGTCCCTAGAGCCGCAGTGGACGAGGGGAGACTGAGCCTGGAGGGATGGACTTGGCGGCGTCTTTTTGAATGCCTCGGTTACGGACGAGGTTACCTCCAAAGTCTGTCTGAAAGAGGGGAGAGAGATTGGTTGTTGAGTGCGGATCTTGGGGGACTCGAGTGAAGGCATCGTGACATGCGGGGACGAATCAGGAACCGTTGAGGCCAGAGTGCAGTAAGACAATTTACATAACACAAGAAGTTGAACGTCTGAGGTTGCATTGGTGACGGTTGAGTCTTGGTCGGCGTCGGCGTTGACGTTGACTTTGGCGTGTGGGGTGACGGTTGCTCCAGCTCCAAGTGACCTGATGAAACCTGCCATTCGGGTCCGATCGACCGTCACTGCCCGTTGAGTGCGGCGTCGTCCGAGGTCGCACCCTCTACGGTAGCTCCGTCTAGCTGCGGCACAAACGCGGTAGGCTGTGTCGCAAGGTGGGTGGGTGGGTGTGACCAGACAATGTGCGATAGGCGATAGAAGCTGTACAGAAGCTGCGCAGAAGCTGAGAGGGAGGGAAGGAGGGCTGCAACCTGCAACCACCTTTGCCATTGACTGCAGGGGAGGCACATCCAACCCTCCAACGCCACAGCCCTCTCAGCTTTGGGGCGTGGGGAAGTTGCCGGGAGAGCCAGGGAAGGAACGAAGACCAGCAGGTATCAGGACCCCACCCACAGTATCAGAAGAGGACTAGCCTCCCGGCGCGATGGGTCAAGTGCCGGGCAAATCCAGTCAAGCTCCAACCAAGCATTGGGTCGGGTCGGAATGAGAGGCAAGCGTGTGAGCCGGCCGTACCTGCACGCAATCATACAAACACGGGAGTGAACAAGGCGGCATCAGGGTGCACACGAGCATGCTGCTGCTGTGCCACTTCTGGGCCTGTCCATCGGCTGTCTCTTCCTGCCAGTATCAGATCACCACAGTCAGAACCTAGGTGGACATCAGTAGACTGATATGTTCAGTCCTGGTGCTGACCTTATCAGCAGACCGTCTCCACTGCTCGCCACCATCCGTCTCCGTTTCCCTCCCCACAAAAGCCTGGGCCTGCACCTAACTGGACCTAGAAGCTGGTTGGAGATAACGAGGCCGTCTACAGCAGAGTAAGACCTGCAACTGTCCGTGCAACGTTTGTGTGTGTGGGTGAGAGGGTGTGCAATCATGGTTGGCATCCTGCTCTTACGCTCTTACGCTCATACGCTTTCGCCTCCTCGTCGGTGCGACTCTGACTCCCAGGTCAATTGTGCTAATCGTCATCTGATAAGAGGCTATTTCCGTCCCAAGATCTGCTGTCCAGTGCCGTGCTGTTTGCATGTTCCGTCCTTGAATCCAATGTAAGGTAACATCTGATTCTGGCCCGGGCACCCCTGTCCCCTTCGTATCGACCACCGTCGCCCGTGGACCATCTGCTATCGGACAGGTCAGGGGACGGGCATTCTTACCCCAGGGTCCCAATCCGCCGTCCCCTTTTCTACACGGTACGATCCGCTTGATTTAATCTGCGGGCGTGCGCACTCCTGTTGCTCACGCGACAGACAGAAAGACACACAGACAGAAAGCGGTCCATGTCAAGTGTTGTTGTTGGCCCTGTCCTCCTTTTTGACCCGGGCCTCGTCGATTTCTCCTGCTCATTCCAGTGCCAGCCTCAACGGCGATTGTTCTCCATCTCCATCCAACCTTACCTCTCTAATTTGACCAAGGGTGGTGCACCCTGACTGCCAGTCAAGATGGTCAACCTCGCGGCCACAAAGATTGGCCCGGTGCGATGTGCGTAACCGACCCAATCCACCCAGCTCGACCCGGGCGTGTCTGCATGCTAACCAACCTGTCGCGTCGCAGATAATTCGCCATGGACGCAGGTCACTATCCTCGGTTTCGTGACATTTTGCTCAGTGGGCATGTTCAGCGCAGTCCAGGGCCTGGGCGCTGGTGGTACTCAAGATACACAGCTTTCTGACACGGCAAATGGCGTCTTGTACGGCTGTTTTGCCATTGCCGGCTTCTTTGCTGGTTCGGTAAATGTACGCTCCTCCCAAAATCCCCCTCCCCCTGGCGAGTCATAGGGCGATGGAGAGGGAGACAGAACCCTGGCGCAACCCCGCGGACAGTGCCCCAGGGCCCCAGACCAGACCCAGTGCGGTCGCAAAAGACCGAGACCCGATCGCTAACTGCCCCCGGACAGAACATGCTTGGCCCAAGACTCACCCTCTCTATCGGCACAACGGGATATGCGCTCTACATCGGCTCTCTCTGGGCTTTCCAAGTCCACAATACGCGATGGTTCCTCATTCTCGCCGGCGGCATCCTGGGCGTTACCGCCTCGCTTCTCTGGGCCGCCCAGGGGTCCATCATGATGGCCGAACCGCTTGAAAAGGACAAAGGCCGGTCCTTCTCGCTCTTCTGGGCCCTCTTCCAGATGGGAACCCTGGTCGGCGCCGCCATCGCACTCGGCATCCAGGCTCATTCCACCTTGCCTGGGGTCTCCACGGGTGTCTACCTGGCCTTTCTGATCATCATGCTGACGGCCATCGTCACGTCCTGGCTTCTCCTCCCGCCTCATCTCGTTGTTCGCGGTGATGGCACTGTTGTGGAGATCGAGGCTGCAATCACCCCTAAGCAGGAGTTCAAGGAGGTGTGGGCCCTTTTGAGGGACTGGCGCATGATCGCCCTGTTCCCGATGTTCTTCTCCAGTAACTACTTCTATGCTTATCAAGGTGCGATCACCACGGCCCTGTTTAACGGCCGCACGCGCGCCCTGGTCTCCCTCCTGACCGGAGTCGGCTCCATCGTCGGCTCGATAATCATCGGCCAGCTCACGGATAACCTGCCCTTTGGCCGCCGGAAGCGTGCCTTGTTTGCCACGGCATTTGTCACCGTTCTCAACTGCGTTATCTGGGCATGCGGTCTTGCATTCCAAGTCCAGTTCACCCGCGCCAACTCCTCCGTCCGAGGCGAGGAGATCCCATGGGACTGGACCGTCGGCGTCTCTGCTGGACCCATCGTGCTCCTGCTGGCCTATTATTTGGCCGATGCCATGTTCCAGGGCCTCGCTTACTACACCATGTCGTCTATCACCAACGAGCCATTCAAGCTGGCGCGTATGGCCGGCTACTACAAGGGAATCCAATCTGCTGGTGCAGCTGTCTCTTTTGGCATGGATGCCGTGAAGGTTAGCCACATTCTTCCTTCCTGGTTGTCTTTTTGTATCCTGGTCATGTTCATCGATGCTAACGTCCATTTCTTCAAATAGACTGCTTACCTTGTCGAACATCTCGTCTCCTGGCTGCTGCTATTGGTCTCCCTTCCGCTCTGCGCCTGGGTACTATGGGGCATTCGTGACAGCAACTACGACGTCGAGAATGTCACCCATGTCGAAGATGTGCCTGAAGGCGCCATCACTGGTATTGCGCTGCCGCCTGGGCACGTTGCTGGCGAGCACCTGCCTGATGACGGGGTCAAGTTCTCTCCCGAATTGAAGGTGAAGGGGAGCACCAGCTCGTAA